TTTAAAGTGAGTTTTAATGTACAAGAGTTCATCTTTAACATTGGCTTTATTCAGGAATTCTTGAGCTTTTTTAATGCTTTGTGCATCTGTCGCTTCAAATGACATTACAACCTAAAATACTCAATATAAGAATGATTGTAAAAAACGATTATATATTAACTGACTTGTTCTAAAACATCAAAGTGTTCTGGATAAAACAATGCTGCTTGAATCCAAGTGCCCCACCTCGTTAATACAGGTCCAGGTGGGAGAAGTGTATTTGATAAACTCTTTTTATAAAACTCTACTCTTATTGGTGCTTTCAAAAAGATTTTTTTAACATTGCTAATTATCTCATTGACATCTGTGCCATACATGTTAAGTGTGTTATATTTTCAAAAAACCTCCTCAAATTAGTACCAGTTTTGATCATGTATGAAGCACCATCTGATACAAACCATTTAACTTTTTTGTGTTCAGTTCCTTTTGGCCACAATAAAGCTGCAAATTAACAATTAAATAAATTATAATAATTTCAATGTTTAAAATTATCAATAGCACACCCAAGGATTCGTTTATAAATCTCGAGATTGTGTTGCTATTAGTTTTATCAAGCTGCTTCAAAGTTAGTAGAAATGGACGGCCAGCTTCTTCAGAAGATAACTTTACAATTACTAAATGGATTATGCATCTTCCTAATCTGTCGGTCGTCTCGTCGACGCTAATCCATATATCATTATTGCCATTAGAATTTCTAATTTGTTTAATTACCTGTAAATTATAAAATTTATGTTAAAAAGTTTTTAAATAAAAATTCTAGTGCTCACCATATCGTAATGTTTTGGTAAATAATTTTTACTCAGAGTACTTTCTGAGGGTAAATGCCTTCCTGTATATTTATGCATAAAATTTTTAAACTCAGGACAACTAACTTTATTTCATGGAATATTTGCTGCGGTAAATGCCCTACATAAATCGGTGCAAAATTGCGTAAAATCATTGTCGGAACTAATGTTTAATAAAGTCTGCTTACTGGATTTATTCTCGTTATTTTTATGTGCATCGCCACTGCAGTGTTGTTCAAAGTGTGATTTTTTTTCGCACTTAAACTAGGAAACACAAATGTGAACATAATTCAAGCTTCAGTATTTTAAATGTTTACTTACAGCTTTTCCACACACTTTGCAGAATAACTCATTGTCTTTTTTATAAGCAACGACGTCATAGCAAAACGCATCTGTGCGTGATGTTCGACGTCCCCCATGCTATTGAATGCGCCGGTCATCAAAACAGGATATGAGTGTAAAAAAATTTATTTACAGCACATTACATCGAAAGAATGTCACGTAGACATTTGTTTGATCTGAATGGGTTTATCGCGCCAAAACAGATGACTAAAATTATTAATAAGCCTCCATTGAACAAAATATTCTGAATGTTATTATTATAATTCTTACCTTATAATTATTTTATTGCTCGTTCTTAATTTGATCAATAATAAATTGACTGATTTATTAATTTTTTTGGTCACCTGTTTAAGCAAATCTAAAATATATGAATGCAATGATTAAAAATCTGTTCATATTTTGCATATTTGCGAAAGAATTTATTCGGCAAAATTTTGAGATGCCGTAATCAATTCTTTAGGATTGATAAACAGATACATTTTGATTAAAAAGTTATCATGCTTACAATAACTTCAAAACGTCAAGATTTCAAAATATTCAGTTTTGCAATTCTTGATTTAATCAATAAAATAAATTAACTTAGTCACTAATTTTTTTTCACACACCGCGTATAAGCAAATCTAAAGAAAATGTATGCAGTGATAAATCACAAATATACACTCATCGAACTTTGTGTTAGGGAACATATATGGAGCGCGTGTTCGGCGGTAGTCTGCGCGACTGCGCCAGCGATGACGTAGCCATGACGCAGACGAACGTCACACTAATGGCTGGTCGGTGTGTTATAATATAACTAACACTTTGCACAAAACACATTTAAGACAGCATTTTTTCGGAGAAATTTTGGGGTGGCGTGATAAATTTTTTAGGGTGGCTGAGCAAATATATTTAGAATAAAAACTTATCATGCTTATCATTAGAGAGCGGATTTATAAGCACAAAAAAATTAAGAATAAGCGCGTAAATAAGCAGAACACTTTCATTAAAAAAGTTTTATTTTAAGCAAAAAAGCATTAAAAACAATCATATTACAAATCAAAGAACACTTCTTAGAACTTTGGATAAAATATTATTACAATAATCCTAGACTTTATATTTTACACACGTATTTCAGTTTTCTTTAAAACAATTTATGATTGTAATATGTTCCAAGTTGTCCACTGTAAAATTTTTTCGCCGATCATTTAAAATGTGTTTAAAATTGGAGAATGTGCGTTCAACATCCACATTCGTTTTGGCGAAAATTTGAATTTTGCAACTAATGTTGAATCTAACTCCAAATTTTCCACCTTCTGGCCTTGTAAAACACGAGCAACGTCGGAAAGAACACCGAAACCTGCATTTTTATTTAACACTTCGTCAAGTTTTTGAGATTCTCTAGTACCAATATCACCCCTTACTGCGTTTGCTTGTTGTTTAAATTCTTTCACTAAGTTTATGGCATCTACCAGCAACATGTTGGGTTTTTCTAACTTTTCTATTACCTCAAATACGAATTGATAATTGCTTCTTAGAAAAGCTAGATCTTGTCGCAAATCTTTGTTTTCCAAAATATTTATGCAATCTTTAATCGATTGAGAAGAATCTTCGCTAAACTCCGTAACTACTTCCTCAAATTCTTTGATACATTTGTCATAATAAAATGTGGCCTGTAACCATGTTCCCCACCTCGTTATAATCGGATCTGGCGGCAGTGGTATGTTTGGAAATTTTTCCTTAAAATGTTGCACTCTTAGTGGGGCTTTAACAAAAGTCTTTTTACCATTTATCACTAATTTATTAACAGTAGGAAAATGCAAACGTCTTCCTTCAGCCGCTCTGTTTAAACTGTGGGCAATGCAAGTAGAGGGAATTAAATTGGGGTACAATATTTTTAGATTATTCCCTGCTTTCAACATATAGCGAGCTGCATCCGAGATCATCAATAAAATTTTATTTGGCAAAAATAGTGACGTAAGACTGTCATTTACAAATCTGGTAATCGTATTGCCATTTGTTTTATCTAACATTTTCAAACTTACTACATACCCTCGACTAGGGAAATTTTTATTTAAGATTCCAACAATTAAACTTGGCACGTATTTTCCACAACTATCGGTTGTTTCATCGACAGCGAACCATAAATAATTATCTCCAATGCGATGTTTAATTTCGTTGTAAACTTGCTGAAACACTGGGCCTACATAATTTTTTCGGAGAGTACTTTCAACCGGAATATGTCGATTGCAGTGTTTTTCAAGGAATTCTTGAAGAGGGCATTTCTCCAATTTTTTTAAAGGTATATTGGACTGGATCATCATTTTAGATAAATCGAAATTAAACTGAAACTGCTCATCTTTTGTGGAAGTAGATGCAACAGATTCATGTATGGTCTGCTGTTTAATTTTAGAAACTTCAAACATTTTCTTCCTTTCTACATGAAGAGTCGTTCTGACATGTTGCGTCACGTTATATTTTTTATCACTTTGAATCTAAAACAACGTACATATACAGGATTAACAAAGGAAAATAGATAAAAAAAAATTAGTGGGCTTACGATTTTCACACAAGCTCTGCAGAATATTTTGTTGTTTTCTAATTTTAATTCTGGAAAATCCCTTATCCACTCATCCGGCGTCGATTTTACTTTCGGCATTCTTTTAAAATATTAGTAATATTACCAAAAAGAACTCAACATGTAACAAGGGAGAACCACGTAAACACTGTACTACGACAGATGCGATAGACTGTGAAATAAACGGTTCATTTACTTAAAAGTTTCCATTAGAAAAATTTTAAGGTAGGTAGTTGGGTACAATAATCCTTTTTTCTAGAAAATCTTCAACGGTCTTGCCGCAAAATGCCGAAAAAGAAAATCTAGTTAAAAGCTTTAATTCATTATCAACGGAAGTAAGGATTTAAAGTCATAAAATCTATGGAGTATTTTTCCAATCCTATAATAAAATTTTATTACCCAAACGACCGGAACCTATTCACAGAAAGGGTCTTGAGTAAGTGTACTTCAATGGTCAAGTCCTGGTAAAATGCATACGATACGATACGGGTAACTAACAAGTATTTGTCATCCCGACAAGGCCGGCATTTGAACAAAATATGCATTAAAACTCATATTCGTCGAAAAAAGCATTAAATAAGCATATAAGTTTTAATATGCATAAAATTGAAAAAAAAGCAAACAAGCATAAAAAAAATGTGTCAAATGACTCCAAATTGTATCATAGTTACAGATATAAAAAAGTTTTGAAGTTCTTACATTTTTCACAAACCTAGAAATCCGCTCTCTACTTATCATAACTGTATACCATCTCCAAGATTTCAAAGCATTCGGTTTTGAAGATTCCAAATTAAATGTCAAAATGTGTTTCCTAATTTTGATTTTTTTTTCCAAAAATCTGAACGTTTCGGGTAAAATCTCAATTCGGAGTCATAAACTACACATGTAAGACTATGTTATTTGATACAATTTCAATTTAAAATCCATTCACTATGTACAATATTGAAGTGACGTCATCACATTAGTGGTGGGGATGATTAGATAAATTTTGGTTAGCGTTTTACCATTTACATGATATACCTAATATAAATACAAAATTTGACAACAGTCGGACCAGTACTTTCGGAGATTATCTGTATAATAAAAATCCGGGACGGCAGCCAGACGGATATACAGACGGACAGACGGACAGACAGACAGAAACGGGAGACCTATTTTTTCGTCCTCTAGGGGTCATGATAGGTCGAGAAATTGCAAAAGTGGAGAGTCGGGAAGTAAAAATTAAAACATTCTCGTTATACAGGCAATTTTATTTTAATAAACCATCGCCGAACGTTATTTTAGTCACAACCGTCGTAATAAATTTCCGTTTCTAAATTGTCGAATACATCTTGAAGAAGTCTTTCCAAACACGAATTTTTTCTGAGATTCATTTTGTCTACGTCAGCCAAAATTCCATTTTTCAACTCTTCCATCACCTTTCGTGTATACTCGAAGCTTCCAAAACCCTCCATTATGTCAACGAAAAGTTTCTTACTTTCCATATCCAGTGGTCTCTTTTTTAACATATCTAAAAGACAAAATTAAGAGAATAAAACGTGACGTTGTGTCCATGATACCCAGAAGACGATGATCGTTTGGATAACTTTGAATGGCATGAATTATAGGAAAGCTGAATTTTCCTTCATCAAGATCATCACAAAAGACACGAACTGCTGCGTACTAACAAACTGGTCAAAACCCATTAACATCTCTAATTTGTTTCGTTACCTTAGGGTTGTGCAAATTAATATAGTCGCCATATATCTGCACAAATTGGCCTATTTTGTCATAAAGGTCTGTACCAAACTCGATTTCCTCGTTCTTAGCACATAATTTTAAGCACCGGACTCCCCATATGATGGCATCGGTATTTTCTACAACAAGAGCCAAACACCTGCAGAGTAGAAAATAAGTTAACTCACTGGCACGAACTAGAACAGCGTAATCGTCAAAAGTAGGACACTGATGAATGTCTCTATGACGGATTTCTAGTCCTTGTCCAGTGAAGAATCTGATACCCAACATAATAAAATCATCAAGAACGGTGTCCTAAATAAGAAAAATTGCAGTTATTCCTTAAAAGGAATATTAATAAAATTACCTCCCTATTTTCTGCATAGCTGAACAATTTTTGCATTAACCGAAATGTGTTATACACCGCAGCATGGACGGTTACAGGAATTCCATAAACCAGATGTGCAGCTGGAAATCCTCGGCGAAGTGTCGTCCCATCCTCGATATCATCTAGTCTGCAAGGAGTAGGTACAACAGAAAAGTGTAAACTAATCTTTAAACACCACTAAACTTACACAAGAAAGATATCTTGTATTCGATTTCCAACATCGACACAGATTTTCAGTGCGTCTGGTGGACACTTAACCCAAGTATTAAAAGAAATAATAATTTGTTTAAAAATGTTGCGATCTTCTGGTCCCGCTAGTACGATATGTTCGATAGGTCGAGCTAATATCTGCAATCAAAAATTGGTTAAAAAAAGTTTATTTTAGTTTGGTGGTTACATTACCTTTTCGTCCTGTGGCTGCATATTGATTGTATTAATTGTTGTCATCTTCAACGACTGTTCGTGTTCTTTTGAGGTGGCTGTGTAATAGGTAGTAAATTGATTTTCACAAAATTGCATTTATATCAACCTCTGGAGTGACTCAGCTAGAATGTTTTGACGCAAACAGGGTGTTTTTTTATTAATTTATTATAAATGTATACTTCTGCTTGATTGTAACCTTATACTTGTACAATGGTCTAATTATTGTCTACACTGGTTATACAGTCATTAATTAAACGTTAACGAGTTGAACTTAGATCTTTATAACTGTTTACAAAAAAAACTATATACGTTATGTTTACCAAATTTAAAATTGGGAATAATGTAGCTGTTCTTCCACATTTTAGGGAAAATACCATCCCTCAAAGGTGTTGCAAAAGTTTTTTATAAGAATACTTGAGACACCGTCAGGACCTGGGATACACGAAGATTTCAATTTAGAAATTTCATCGAAAATATCAGACAAACTAATATTTAGACCTGTCATTTACATTTCGATGAGCCCTAAAAATATTATAGTTGTTTAAATTTAAATCAGAACTAACAATGTTATCACTAAGCCAAGTTTAAAAAATAAAAGTGACGTCATAAACACAAGAGTTTACCGTCACCAGCGTTTTGACAATAAAAACTAATTACTTTTTGGGATGAATAACCCGAGAAATATTTTTTCCGCAATAAATCATCGCCCGAGAACTTGTTTGATCCACAGACCGGAGCGCGCTCAGACCAATGTCGACTCTAAGCCTTTAGAATTTCTGCGGGAAAGTGCAGTTATTTTTGTGTTTTAGAAGCATTCTGTTCTATTTTGTATTGATTTTTAAATATTTTTAGTCACAATTTTGGTAGTTATTTATTTTCCATGCATTGTATAATATTAATATTGCGGAAACTTCTAGCAATAACGCGACAATAAACCTCTCACTGATCGAAAAACTGAATTATCCCAGAATCAAAAATTTTAAAAACCGAAAAATTAAAAAAAAAACAGAAATTGAAAAGTTCCCAAAACTGGTAATGTTGAAAAATCTGGAAATCTAAAAATCGAAAAAGCTAAAAATTTAAAAAATCGGAAAACCTAGATAGCAAAATTTAAAACCTGAAAAATAGAAATATTAAAGAACGGGAAAATCGAGAAATCGAAAAATCTAAAATTTAAAACATGGAAAAATTCAAATATAGAAAAATTGTAAAAGCGAGAAATCCAAACATGAAAAACCCAAAAACATAAAAATTGGAAAATTTAAAATTCGAGAAATTGAACAATCGGATAATTGAACAAACGAAAAGTTAAAAAAATTGGAAAATCGAAAATTGTTAAGTGAAATATAAAAGAACTGAAAACTAGAGAAATTGAGAAACTTAAAATTTTAAATATGGAAAAGTTAAAATATCAATTGTTGAAAAATTGAGACATCAGTGAGTTCCTAGTAAGAAATTTCATTCTAAATAAAATTAAAACTGCAGAAAATATTACTAGAAAGAACCTGTGAAGGTTGGAAATATTCACTTCTGAGAGGTGATATCAAAGACAACTCTATCTAGAAAGAAATGCAACACAATTAGTTATTTATTATACTACGCATCTAATACATAATACAAAGTTATAAATCTGCATCCACTTTTTTTACTTTTCGGCTTTTCAATTTTTGTATTATTCGATTTTTCAATTTTCCAATTTTATTAATTTTCGAGTTTCGATTTCTCTATTTGTCGATTTTTCAGTTTTTCGATTTATAAATTTTAGTCATTTCAAATTTTATTTTTTTTGATTTTTAAGTGTTTAGATTTCTCCATTTTTCAATTTTACGATATTTTAATTTTTCAATGTTTTAAATTTTAGATTTTTTGATTTTTCAGTTCTTCAATATTTTTTAATTTTTCAAATTTGAAGTTTTAGAATTTCCAGATTTCCAATTTCTCAAGTTCCCAAAATTTCGATCTTTGAGTTTTTCTGTTCTTCAATTGTTCGATTTTTCAGGTTTTTGATTTTTCAAATTTTCGATTTTTTAAATTTGTGATTTTTCGACTTTGCTTTTTGACTTTTTGATTTCTCTATTTTTCAATTCTTTAACTTCCTAATTTGTGTTTGAGTGACGAATAATAATAATTAGAGCACAACTTCGTGTACCCCTGTACCTAATTTTAAGTGCTATGTATGTACAATTGGTTCTCAAGATATTTAACCGTATCCATATATTCTAGAGGACTTGTATAAAGGTTATCAGAAAACAAACATTTTTTATATTTTTTCAAAGAAGCGGAATTCGTTAGACTGTACTTCAAGGGCGAGGGAAATCGAAGTAACCTTGGACCAATTTTTTAGAAATCTAAAACTTTGTCGAGGGCTCCAAATATCTTTTTTAAGAATGTGAAACCTTGTCGGGGGCCCCAAATATCTTTTTTTTAAGAATGTGAAACTGTTTCGGGGATTCCAACTTTCCTTTTTAAAGTTGGAGATCAGGTGCTAAAAAATTCTAGACGAATAAAAAACTGCCCCACCCACCCACCCACCCATTTCTTAATGTGTCGTCTACAACAAAATAAATTTCCTTTACATGAAATTTTCACAAACAAAAGCTCATTATTTACAAAAAAATTAAATAATTATGCAATCTGCGATTTGTTGTATATTCAAATTTTTCAGCTATATTATATATTTATATTTATATTTTCTTAAATGTTGAGATCTTGAAGTTGCCGGAGCTAAAAAATAAGATTTCTGGTTTCTCTAAACAAAATAAGTGTGAAAAGATGTGTCATAAATACGTATAATTTTTAATTTAATTTTTCCAATATTCTCAAAATTTTATAGATCTTGCAAACTGTTTGTTGTTGTGGACCTCAAATGGCACACTGTATTTAGTTAAAAATTGTTGACAGTAAAAAATCAAAACCTGGTTTGAAATTTCATAATTATTGAACATCTCAAAATTCGCCAAAATTTTCAGTTGGAGATTAAGTCCTAAAAAAATTCTACACCATCTCTATCTTCGTCCGTAATTTGGCGTAAGCAAATTACGTCCAGATCATACACATCTGTAAAGCTTAACTTCCACAAAATGTTTCATTATATTAAAAATAAAAATACCTGCTAAGATAAAACTGATTTTGGCAAATAACATACCCTCTAAGAAAAGAGAAGGTGGGTGGGCGGGGCTAGTACCTGGTAAGATAAGACAGATTTTGGCAAATAAGGCACCCTCTAAAAAAAATGGTGGGTGGGTGAGTCTAGTACCTGTTACGACCGATTTTGGCAAAAGATATGCTGTACAAAAAAAAAATCTAAATAAGTATTCTCTGCACTGGTTATAATAATCGTTAGTTAAATGGTAATGATTAATGAATTACAGAACTTAGCTCTATCAATCACTTGCAACAAAAACTACGCAGTTTCAGATTGTAGTATCTCCATTAATAACGAACTTATTTTAATGAAATTTGAAAAGTAGTCCGATCTCGACTTCCACTATATAATGCAAGGGTATTTTTTTTTAACATTCTATTAGGTATCATACTAGCAGCTGCTACGACACAAGCTTCTTTTTACTAGATCTCACTGATAACGTCATTACAAAATTTTGTAATAGAAAAATTCACATGAAACATGCGAAAAGTTGAAAAAGTTTGATTGTACTTCAGAGACGGCAAAAACTCTGTCCAGATAGCGCTCAAACAGTTTTTCCATAAGGGATTAGTTGATTAGAAGTATAACAGATGAATCTGCATCGTGTTCACATCGTGTTGCCGGTTTTTCCCTATTTCTCTGGTTTCGTGCGCGAAAATTTTACGAAAAGCGTCTTGTTCTGTGGGTGTGGTGACATAGGTCCATTCTAGCTGCATTTTGTCCGTCCATTGGGTGAGTTTTTTTTTTTTTATTTAATTTCTCCACTTGCTTTCTGTAAATTATCGTCGTATTTTTTGGGGAAGATAAGACCACCGGCCGACCTTGTTTTTAGGCGCTTCGCTGTCCCTCAATCGAGGAAAGTTTTTCAGAGTTTTGCGATAACGTATTTATTTGTCTTTAAAGTATTGAAATAATTTGAAAAATTTATAGTGCGGCAAAAAACTTGGCTTTCTTAAGAAATGCTCAAGTTCACATTATTTAAATTGTTCTGCTTATCATTATTGTCATCCAGGCCTAATATGGAAATGCACAGAATGCGAAAATATCTAAGTGTTTAAACTTAGATCCCAAGCTGCTGAACGCTTTTTGAGCTTTATAAATATGTTGTGTTTGTTTTGAAAACGAGACTAAAAAATCACCTTGTTATATTCTCAGTTTAATCGTTACCAACGAGAACAATCCTTTATTGAGGACAAGCAGTAATTGTTTTAGCTGCTTATTTTGTTCCATTTTTTCCATTGTAAAATTCTGTCTTCTTCAATCAGCGCCATCTGTTGAACAAGTTCCACATTACATACACTTTTCTTAAAACGCACTGTATGCTCAGTCAACATGTACTTAATTAAAGTTTTTTGATTTAAGTAAGTAAATAGGTAAAGGTTATAGGTAACATTTATTTTGGAAAATATCTTAATCAGAAACTATTCTTCTCTAAATATTACTAAGTACTATGTCCAAAGCAAAAATTTTAATAATTATTCACTACTATCAGTATTATCAATATTATCAATAATAATTGATGGGCCGGATTCGGCTACCACTTCCCCGATTGTCCAGTTCTGACTTTCTAACTAACCTAAATATGTCTCACTCTGCAATGTCAAGGAATCTGTACAGTCAGAAACAACATTGTGTACTTCTTGTTTTTTCTTCGGGTTATCTCTAGCGACAATTTCGCGTTCTGATCCTGAGGTACATTGGACTTTGGTGCCTTATCTCCTTTTTTAGATGAAAATATTTCTGCAGACGAACAGTTAGATTGACTTGAGTTACCTGTGTCTTCAGTGTTTGAGTTGGATACTGTTACATTGGGAATTTTCTTATTTTCTGCATCTATGGGGTCTTCGGCTAACTCAATTATTGCTAATGTGGCAACCTGATTTTGAGGAATTTCTCTGAACGCTCTTCTAGCACTTTGAATCTGTGTCAAGTTGGATTGACTCGAGATGTCTTAATCTTCAATGCATGACGTAGAAACTTGTTCATCCTCTATAAACATCTGAGGGTTCTTCGATTAAATCAACTGTTCCGAGAAGGTTATAGATATTGTTTGTTTCGATTGTCGTTACATGGACTTTCATCATCTTTATTGTTGATAACGTAAACTTTATTAACGGCGTCATTTTTCAGTGAAACTATTCTGAATTTTTGGTTCATTGTACAAGAATGAAAGGTCTGATCCTCTTGGGGGATTAGTGCATCCATAAGTTAAAGGGTTTGTGGTAAATTAGCGAAAATTGTCAGGTTTATTATCTGCAGTGACCTAGTAGTATATTTTTAATCACTTGTTTTTACATTCTGCATAGTAGATAGGCGCTGATTTGTGTTTTTCACTGCCTCCCTTGTGGAGGCGGTGTTTTCTTTATTTTTCTAGTTGTTGCTTTATATTTGGCTATTTGCAAATTATCACCTAATGGCGGTCAAGTGTCATAAATGTTTGCGTACAATTGGACGTACGGATAATTACATCTCCTGCAAAGATTGTTCCCATAATTATCACGTTTCATGCGCTGGTGTATCAGATACTGCATTTGATAATATGCAGGATGCAGGACTCCTTACTAGCTTTTGTTGTACATCTTGTAAATCGAAACCTGGTGTGATCTCTGGAGTTTGCATTAAATCTGGTAATACAGTTTCTTTGGATAGGCAAGGTTGGTACCTCTCCACTGACCAGTTTAGAGAATTAGTGGCAGGCATTGTTAAAAGTGAATTGCAGCCTTTCGTGGATAAAATTGATATTTTACAAACAGAAATTCGTAATCTATGCTTGGAGAATTCTCAACTACGCAATGAAGTCGTAAAATTAACCAAAGATTCACATTCTCGTCCAGTTACTGAAAATAATTTAACACCTATTGATGTGACCACTAAAACGTCTTATGCTGAGGCTATCGCTAAAAATTCTCAGCAAACTGTTATTATCAAACCAAAGGATAAGACTCAAACAGTTAACAAAACTAAGTCTGATATTATGACTAGCGTGGACCCTGTTGAATCTTCGGTTAACATTGGTAAAGTGAAGAACCTTAAAGATGGTTGTGTGCTACTAGGTTGTGATGATGTTAAGCGATTTACACAATTAGCGAAAAATAAACTTTCTTCTGCCTATGATATTCGCGAAATTAAAACGCTGCGTCCTCGAATTAGAATAGCTGGTTTATCTGATGATGTCGATAAAGACAGTGTTATAAATTATTTGACTAAACAGAATGAATTTATCTTTGATAACAGTAACGAATACAAGTTATTAAAATACTCTCCTGTAAAAAATAAGTCTGATCGCTTCCAAGCAGTTATCGAAGTAGATATTCCCACTTATAAAAAAGCGGTTAGCATTGGTCATTGCTTAATTGGTTTAAATAGCTGTTCAATTTTTTGTGGTATCGATATTTCCCGCTGTTTTAAGTGCAATGGTTTCAATCATTCGTCTAAATACTGCAAAAATAATTTATGTTGTCCTCGTTGTACTGATAAGCATGAGTTAAGTGAGTGTAAAGCAGAGACTCTTTGCTGTATTAATTGTAAAAACATAAAAGGTACTGGTACTTCTGAGCTTATTAATACCGATCATGCTGCATGGGACCGCGATAGTTGTCATGCATATAACACGGCCATCAACAAAATAAAACAAGATCTTTTTCGACTATCGGCATAGCAATCAACTTCCATATTATCCGAGGATGTACCGTTCTTCTTCACAACAAATCAGGATGTAAGTTCTTCCTGGGAAAGCTTAGCTTCACACATTAACATCAACGCTTCCTTGACTTCTTCTACACGATCAGTATCTGTATATTCTTCTTCTCATACTCGCTCTCCTAATATTCTAGTTTACTATCAAAATGCTAGAGGTTTAAATTCCAAACTGGCAGACCTACGTAATTCAATGATTTGTTGTGATTTTGATTTTGTCTGCATTACGGAGACTTGGCTTAGCTCTTCGATTTTTGACTCTGAATTTTGTCCAGATCATTTCCAAGTTATTAGATCTGATAGGAACTTTGAAAAAATGAATGTTTCAAAAGGGGGAGGCGTCCTGTTAGCTGCTACTTGTGAATATACAGTATCTCAGATAGATTTACAGTCTCGAGGATTTGGATCGTTGCAATTCACGGATTTAATTTGTGTCAAATGTTCTGCAGCCAGTTTCACTATCTATATTTTCGTAATTTACACACAACCTAAAGCCAATGTCGAGGAATATGAATTGTTATTTCATTTAATCTCTGCCACAACTGAATTATATAATCAGCGAGTTCTCCTAATTGGGGATTTTAATATTTCTAATTATCAATACAGTTCATCTGGTTTTGTAACCGGTAATAGTCCTCTGTCATCTTTATATAACTTTTTGTATTTTTGTGATTACCGACAGTTTAACAATATCATCAATGCTAATGGGCGGTGTCTCGATTTAGTGATTTCAGGATTCCACTGTTTAGTTGAAAAGGCTTCTGATTCTCTGGTTAATGAGGATCTTCATCACCCATCCCTTTTGATCACTATAAAGCGGCAGAAACCAAGACAGAAATCCATAAATAATAATAGATCTGCTCATAAACAGTGGAATTTTCGAAGAGCTGATTATCCTGGTTTATATAAATATTTGACAGATTCCAATTGGGAGTTCCTTAATAACATTAATGATGTCAATCAGGCTTGCTCTCTTTTTTATGATCAGATTAACATGGCACTTGAATTGCATGTTCCGAAAACCCATCGCTTACGGAAATCATCTTTTCCTCCTTGGTTCACGGCTGCAATCATCAGCAATTTAAAACTTAAATGGAGGCTGCTTCGTAATTTCAGATTAAGGAAAAGTGTGGGAACATATAGTCGTTTTAAACGAGTTAGATCTGAACTTAAACGGGATATAAAAGCTGCTTTTGTCAACTACACATCTAATCTTGAAGCTAAAATCAAGTTTGAACCTCGCAGGTTTTGGTCTTACGTTAATAATTTAAATAGTTCTAATGCCATTCCTTCGCAGATCATGTACTCTGATAAGTTATTAACAAAACCTGTTGACATCGTTAATGCCTTTGCAGAACATTTTTCTAGCAACTATAATACTTGTAATATTGATAATATTGATAGTTTTCTTGACGGAGCTTCAAACACAAGTTTCAACTTAACATCTATTTCTGAATCCGAGGTCCTTTGTGCTCTTAAGCAAATAAAAGCGAATAATACATCGGGTCATGACAATATTCCTGCTTTCTTATTGTCAGATTGTGCAGCTGTGTTGGCTTATCCTCTTTCCATATTATTTAATCTAATCTTAAAGACGTGCACTTTCCCTGATGTATGGAAATTGTCCATAATTTCTCCCGTATTTAAATGTGGCGAACGAACTGCTGTGGAAAATTACAGACCTATATCTTTGATATGTAACTTCTCCAAGATCTTTGAAACGGTGTTGCATAAATCTTTCTTTTTCAATATTCGCAGTTTAATTAGTGATTCTCAGCATGGATTTGTCATTGGCCGGTCTACTGTTACAAATTTGTGTGCTTTTACGCAGTTTGCAGCTGACCAACTTGATGCAAAACTTCAGGTTGATGTAGTTTACACCGATTATTCTAAAGCTTTTGACAAACTTAATCATAATATCCTGTTAGCAAAATTGTGTAACTTTGGCTTTTCTGATTCTCTCATTAAGCTAATTGGTTCTTATTTGTGTAGTAGATTACAGCGTGTCAAATATCAAGGTCATGAGTCGATAATTACTGTTGTACCCTCTGGTGTGCCTCAAGGCTCAGTATTGGGACCTCTGTTGTTTGTCATATACATCAATGATATCGTTAAGAACATTAAGTCAAATGTTTTAATTTATGCTGATGACTTAAAAATTTACAGACAAATTACATCAGTTGAAGATTGTATTATTTTGCAGAATGATCTTGATATTTTTCTAAGCTATAGTTCTTCCCATTTCCTTCCTGTAAATTACAGTAAATGCAAAATCTTGTCCATCACTAATAAAAGCATGCAAATAATGTTTACCTAATTATAGCTTAAGCAATTCACTTATAACCAGAGTGGAGACACATTATGATTTAGGAGTCTTCTTTAATTCCAAATTGACATTTGAGAATCATATTAGCAACATGTGTTCAAAAGCCCTAAAGTCACTAGGCTTTATTATTAGATGCAGCAGGAATTTTAAGGACATTGGTTGCATGCGAGTTTTATATTTTGCTTATGTTCGATCGAAGCTGGAGTATGCTAGTATAGTATGGTCACAGTTTACACAATGTCATATCCAGGCAGTGGAAAAGTTCAGCGTCGTTTTCTAAAATACTTGGCATATAGGGAGGATGGTGTTTACCCAGCCAGAGGATCTCCTCATTCGGCACTTCTTTCAAGATTTGAGTTGGAGGATCTGAATACAAGACGAATAAAGGCTTTGTTAATCTTTCTTAAAAAGTTAATAAATTTTGATATTGACTGTTCTGATCTTCTCAGCAAATTATCGTTCTTCGTTCCTAGATCGTCTGCTCGTTCTCACCCCTGTTTTTATCTGCGAACACCTCGTCTTAATATAGAAAAATACTCTCCTATTTATGAGATGTGTAATCAATATAACCTACTTCAGAATTCCTTTGATATATTTAGATAAAAATAATAATATTTCTCCTCTTTCTGGCTCTCCCATTTCTCTTTCTACCTGTCCCTTTGTTTTTTGCATACAATAGATAAATTTAATATTATACCTGCGTTTGAATTGCTTAACTATTCTTATCTGAGTAAAGCAGTAATTAATTAGCTGTTGATTATGTTTGCAATTTTATTGTTGGTCTGTAATTGGGTTCACACCTGTTGGCCAACATAACCAATAATAATAATCTTAATAATAATAATAATAACAATTAAAAAATGAACTTTCTAAAACCATTAATCCACTTCCTGAAGATATCAACAACACAGTACCAAATACATTACTGACTGACACATCTGTCACCAATTTGTCAAAAACAACATCTCAAAATAAGATCCCAATTATACCACAAAATAGTAATAGTAGTATATTAAATACACCAGAGACACGAACTGACAGATTTACTAAAGATTTATTAAACAAAACACCTCAAAATAAGATCACAACCGTAACACAAAT